ACGACACCATGATACCACAGCACCAAGACACAGCGACACCACGACACGACAACACCACAGCAACACGACATCGCAACATCCCGACACAACGATCACGCTCCATCGCGCCACCGCGACACCGCGACATTGCGACGCCAATGACAACAAGACACAACGAAACCATGCATCAAGACGTCGCGACACCACGCACCGCGACACTGGCACCACGACGCCATGCCACCACGACGGCTTGTGCCACCGCGACGCCACAACACCACACCACCACGACACAATGGCACCCATGACGTCACGACGAGGCGACACCACGACACCACGACACCATTGCACCAGGGCGCTTTGACACCGTGACGACAGTGCACCACGACGACACCGCTTCACGCCACGACAGTGCACCACGACGACACCGTGAACCCCCTGACACCGGGACGCCGCGACACCACGCCGGGGGCCTCTGGAGGCCAGTTCGAAATCCGCGCGGACCTCCGAACGTTTAAGTTTGGGCTGTTTTTCCTCTGAGTGAGCGCTGAGCTGAGGGATTCGGAGGTCTGAGCTGAGGGACTCGACACCGCCCTGGCCTGCACGAGAAAAGCCCCCACTCGGGCGCCCTCCGTCTGCGGCCGCCCCGGCGCGGCTGCCAGGCGCGGCGCAGCTGCGCCCTCGGCCTCGGGGCCCTCTCCGGGGGTAAGGAAGGAAGGAGGAGGAGGAGGACGACGACGATGACGACGACGACGAGGCAAGGCAAGGCAACTCTGGGGTGCTATCGCATGTGCCTACATGCATAAACTTGGAAAAGAAACTAGCACCTGAGTGGAGACGACGAGAAGGAGGAAGAGGGGGGAGGGATAGAGGAGGAGGGAGGAAGGGAGGGAGGCAGGGAGGGAGGGGGGGGGATAAGGAGGCGGGCCTCCGTGGGTAACCGCCAGAAGTCCCGCGCACGGGACCAGCTCTGCGGCCAGCAGGGGCCGCCGCTGGCGACGGGCAGGCGGCCGTGCCGCCGCCGCCGGCGGCCTCGGCCTGCGGGTGCCGCGCTGGTGGCGGCACGCAGCGGGCGGACCCGCAGCAGGCGAACTTGCAGCAGGCGAACTCGCAGCTCTGAGCCCTGAACCCTGAAACCGTTAAACCCGTAAACCCTAAACCCTAGACCCTCAAAACCCTAAGCCCTAAAGCCTTAGAACTAAGAGGCTATAACGATCTAAATTTTAAAATGCCTTGAAGCGCCCTTGCGGCGCCCCTTATGCGCGCCCTCATTGTGGCGCACCCCTCACGCAGATCCTCGCCCTCGGAGTGCCAGGAATAGTGTTCTGAGAGCTTTTGCAAATCCCACAGTGCACCCCTCACGCAGATCCTTGCCCTCACGCGTCGGTAAGTTGCTGCGGGGAGCTACTCGTTTTTGTCGCTTCGCGTGCGCGCGTCGCATCGCCCTTGCATCGGCCTTCGCGCACCGTGCCGCAGTGCTGAGGATGCGAACTGGGGATCCGTCTCCTCGAGGCAACGAGCTATCCCGCGCCTGTTGCGCAGCCACTCCATGCAATCTCACCGCCGCTGGGCGGCGTCCCTGCGACGCACAGGGACTCGCGTAAATATGCGTTGTTCTCATATCGCGTCGTCGCGCGCGCGTGCCGCATCGCCGTTGCAGCGGCTTCCCAGAAGACTTTGCGCGACTGTCGTCGTCGTCGTCGTCGTTTTGAGTTCAATATCGTCGTCTTCGTCACCGGTATCGTCGTCGTCGTCGTTTTGAGATCAATCTGTCTTGGGTCATGGGTGGGTGGGACACGTCCAACAGGCTTCAAGTTTGGGCTAGTGGACCCCTAAACCCTAAACCTTAGACCCTCTAAGCCCTAGGCAGCTGCGGCGGTGGCCAGCCCGCGGTGGCGGCCAGAGTCGTGTGCAGGGAGCGTGCCGCCCGGCGGGCCCGGCTCGTTCTGGGGTGCTCTCTTGCCGAGGGCGGGCTGCCACTGCGCCTCCGAAGGTGCGCGCGCCGGCGGGGCACGCTGGCCGAGCTCCTCCGTCCTCGGGATGGCGGGGTCGCGAAGGTCCGAGGCGAGAATTTATACATGGCCACCGCCTGGAGGGTCAGTCTTCGGAGCCTCGGCAGGCGGTGGACATGGGCATATTCGGGCCCCCGGGGGCCGAAATGCATCCACACCCGCCGCCCGCTGGGGCCCCAGGACGGCGGTTCCCAGGCGGTGGATCTGGATAAATCCCCGCTTCGCAGAAGGGGGTTCGGGGGAACTCGGGCGAAGGGAAACTGTGCCCACACACTTTTTTGGCGCCGCGGCCGCGCGCGCAGCGGCGCGGCGGAGAAGCGGTCCACGTCACGCGGTGTGGGGCCCAGGACCCGCCCATTTAGGGCGTCGAAAAAAAAAAAAAAAAAAAACCAAAAAATAAGCCCCCACCGCTCCCGCGGGGGGGGGGGGGGCGACGCAGGGAGCAGCGGGGGAAGAGGGGTTGACGGGGGGCGGGGAGGGGGCCGCGGGGAGACGAGTAGTAATGATGGGGC